CAATGGTCGAACACACACATATGGTAAATATCTTATACCTATCTCCCGGCGTAAGTGCTAGCTAAAAGCTCAGACATCTTTCTTGCCTACTATTTGTTGTACTACTTTTTGTAGAATGGACATTGCGTGGTAATTCCACGGTGGCTAATAGTCTTCGGCTTAAGTGCTCTTGAAAATTTCGGATCTGCCACTAAACATAGCATGTCCCAGTCACCCAACTCCATATCCTTCACCTACTGATTTCTGGAATTCTTCTCATTTCTCTGATTTCTAAATGTGAGTATGCCATATTCTTGAGAACTGTATGCCTCGTCATGGTTCCCTCAATGCATTCCACAAGATTAAAGCGAAAATATATCGACTCTGTTCTGAACGAGAAGAAAAGTACTAACCCATCAATGAGAAGGCCGCCAAGGATAGATAAGATGTCGTCATTTTTGAACTATTTCCAGTGCAGTACCAATATGGGAAACAAAACCGACATTTCCGCGAACTTTTAATAGTTTTTGGTTTCAAGATTGTCATCTTTGGTGGAACTAGCTGGAACCCATCGAATACTTCTTGCCAAGACATGGGTGTTCGGGTTTTTTGGGAGTTAATCGGCAATGGCACAACTAAAGTGACTTGTAACTTCAATTGTTAGACAGGCGATGACAAAAGCCAGCATTCGCTGCAGTTATTGAAACTTCTTTTAATTTATTTGTGCCTATCTCTATGCTGTTTCTCCAAACTCGTCTGCGGTAGTGCAATTAAATGTTTGCTTTTTGTTTTATTAAAAGGTGCATTTATCAAAAAGGCGAAAATCCGGACAAGGTACTTTAATTGTGTATATTTTGAGAGCCTTTAATTATGCTAATGAATTCAACGTCGTATTTTATGCAATGAATTCTGTGTATTTGATTATAATTTAGTCGGTTTTTATTTTCCATCTTTTTGCTAGTCAGAAGCGAATTGAGAAATACGTTTTCCCTGCACATGCTTCCGTTGATTAACACACGCCTTCAATGAATGAAATACACATTTAGACCGTGATTTGTTCATCAGGAAAGCATGTCTTGGCGCACAAAGTGAGCAAGAGTGATTTGCACAACTTCATCTACTGTGATTGGGAATTATTGACACTAGTCAAATTTTTAATCTCGCGCGCACAGGATCTTTCCCTCGACCGGATGACCGGACGCAACTACAGGAAGCTTTTATATGGCTTTTTGTGTGCATTCGTGTGTCTGGTTCTCATAAAGCTACTCTGCACACTTCGTTTTGCCTTCCCCAAGCGACGGGTTACATTCTCTCTCATGCACTTTTCGCCCATACAATCATTTATCCAAGACAAGCGATTTGACGTTCCACTCAGTTGTCAAGGTTTACAAGAAAGATTTATCGACACAACCGGTGAATTTTATGCGCTTGACTTCCAATTGGAAGTGGGCATTTATAGCGTCTTTCTGGATAAACGGAAAAGTGACAATATCACGGAGAAACGTTCAGCCAGTGGACACAGGAATGGCGTTCTTAGAATCTTCTTAGCAAAAAGGACAGATTCTTCACCAAAACTGTACTGCCATTTCATCGGAACTGATGGATAAGTGCAGAGTGTTGCCTCACGCAACTTACTGGGGCATGAGTTCGCCTTTTATGAACTAACAGAAAACCATATGCAGTCATATGGCGGTTACAGTGTACACTGTGATGCTCCTGATCTGAATGAACCAGTATTAACCGAGTCTGGATACTGTGGCGTTGCTATATCTACCTCGGATTCATATGTGCCACAAAACTCTGCACTGTTTAAAGTTCCGGTTGTTGGTCGAACCTCAACAGTACTGCCCAGTGAAGAGAAACCGCTATTAGAGCTGGAACACCGATTTGGCGTCTGTGTCCCTGCTCTACACAATATGGAACAAATAAATCCCCGGCGATTGGACGAATGGATTGAAATACATATGCGCCTGGGCGTAACAAAGTTTCGCTTTTATTGCACCAAGGCTATTGTGAAGCCTTTGCTTAGCGTTCTTACTGCACCCCGTTCTTGGAAGGCCTGGCCATAGACATCGAGCTCATTCCGCTTATATGGTCCGATGATCCGGATATAATCAGCAGGAGTTCCTGGTACTACTTCCAAATCATCACCATAAATGACTGTCTCTATCGCAGTATGCGTGATGTGGATTTTGCTTTCTTTGGTGATATAGACGAAATTCTGGTGCC